TAATCTGTTCCAGACAGGCTCTCTGTGATAAACAAAGCTGCTGCCTAGAGGCATAACAAAGGACCTGAGTTGCAAGTAAGCAAGAGCTACCCCACCCCACGGCATTGGGGGTCTGGAGGCCACACCATAAACACCCCATAAGATGGCTGGTTAGTCAATGACGGGTAAAACCCCTCAAGGGAGGGGCAACCTAAGCCAGGCACAGCCTCCGGGGTTCAGCCAAAGATCTTAGGGGGCCACCCTAAGAAAAGCTGGGGATGAGAAATACCCCCTGTGGCTCACCTTGCCCATCCTTGCTAATCTCGGTCCGTGATCTATGCCTAGTGCCTAGAGCAACCACCTGGATACCTTGAGTCAGGGGATATCTGCTTCCCTAAGGCTATACATTCTGGGATTTATGGCCATTGCTGTAATGCCTGGGTGGTTACGTACAAGGAACTAACTTTAATTTTTTAGAGTCTAAAAATAAAACTGACCCAGTGTGTTTTTACTCAAGTCAACCGTTTGTACGTGTGTCTGTGTTTTTCTCTGTGTTCTGCGTTTTCACTTTGTGTTCTGTGCTCATCTTCTCTCCTGTAAACGGGCCACGACAGAGCACCCCTTGGGACAGGGCCCCCCGACAAACGTCTGCTGAGACAGTCCAGTGACAGGTGCTTCATAAACCGTCTTTATTTGATCCCCACCACAGCCTTAGGGAGTAAGAACTCCTGTCCCCACTTTACAGTGGGGGAGAGTCCCTGTCCTTGGTGGGTTTCGAGGGGCCCATTGCCAGCGGCCATTGAGGGGAAGAGAAAGGGCTAGAAGCCAGGGTGGTTGACTCTGCCCATTGAACCCCCCACACAGCGGGATGTGCCGGCTTCGCAGTGAGGGTTCCAGGGCCCGGGAGCCCGGGTTGAGCGGGGCAGGAGGCGGGTGGGCAGACGGCCGCCATCCGTCCAGCGGAGACAGCCCGGGAAGGGGTTGTGGCTGGGGATCCCCTGACCAGGAAGATGGCGAAACCACTGTGCTCCCCAGAGATGAAAGACAGGAGCCACTCGGGTGCCAGCTCCACACGCAGGCGCGCCCACGTGCACACATACCTGGGCTGCCTCTGCGTACACGTGTGCACAAACGCATTTCTGTGCATGTTCCGTCTGCGCCCCTCCCATGGTGCCAGCATACGTGACATGCTCGCCTGTCTTTGTCAAATTATTCAAGGCGTTCAAATCTCGGAACCTCTTCATCCCTTAGTCTCAAACTGCAATTTGGGATTCTAATCCCAGCATTTCCGTGCCCCTTGCTGTGTGACCCTGGGCAGGTCCCTTTCCCTCTCTGAGTCTCTACATACAATGGTAGGGTTGGGTGAAAATACTTTTTAAACTCTTCCGGCTCAGGGTGGTGGAGAGACCCCAGGTCTGGGCCCGGTGCCTGCTTCGTCCCCCCGCTCAGGAAAGGCCTGTCCCCAGAAAAGGCCGGGGCAGAGGAGGGGCAGGGGCCTGTGCTGTTTTCATCCCTGATTAGGAGGCTCTTGCCAGGCTCCGGGCCTCCGACCCCGCGCTCGCGTGTCGGAAGGGTGCGCCAACTGCTTAATCAGACCGCTCTCGGCACAACTGATTAATAGAGGCTCCTGCTTTGAAAGAAAGAAAGGAAGGAAGGAAATGCTTCTGCAAATCAGCTGTTTATTTAACTTTCCCTGGCATTTAATGATTGCGAGGCTTGGGAGAGGAGGAGAGATGGAAAATTAATTTGAGTCTCACCAGAAAAGCCAGTCAGGGAAATAATGAACTTCCAGAGTCTTTTGGAGAACAGAGAGGAGACGGGGAGATGCCGGCGGGGGCGGGGGGCAGAGCCCGGGAGCCTCCGCATCTCAGCCGCGAGCTGGGCCGTGCAGAGTGACAGACAGGCGGCCTGTCCTGCCAGAGCCTCCATCACATGGGGAGGGGAGCGCCAGGCAGGGTCTCAGCTTCTTCCAATGTGCAAAGCCTCATTGCATTGTCCCCGGTCTTGTTAGAATGGCAGAGGCGCAGCAAGGAGGGGCCCCGAACCTGCAGACAGCAGTGCTGCACGTTCTTGTTCTCACGCGCTCAGACATTCAGCAGAACCGCTCCCCCCAACACACACGCATGAGATGGTGGCATCAGGGAGGGACAGGATTGGGCATAAGAGACGTAGAAGGCCAGAGGGGAATAGTAAGTAGCACTCACAGGTCATCGACTTTGAGTTCTTTATTCTACAAAAGTGGAAACAGAGACCCCGAGGGAGGCAGTAACGTGCCAAGACCCCACGGTAAGTGGGGGACAGAGCTGGGGCTTGAGCCCACGTCACTCCAGGATTCCTGCTCTTCGTAGCTCCCATCAAAGGCTCTGTAGAAGATAAGTCCTTTGGTTGTAAATGACATACAGGGAGGGGGTGATTCCAGCAAAAGTCCCACGGCAGATTCTCATTGGACCACCTTGGGTCACATGCCATTCTGGAACCAATCACGTAGCCAGAAAAATGGTCTATACTGATTAGCCAGATGTGGGTCAGGTGACCCAGGCTTCCTGCACCACTGTGGCCACCACAGGGCAAAGCCAAACAGTGGGCTCCCCCCTCTGGGTTTTGTCCATGCTGTCCTTTCTTCCTGAGTACCTTGAGATACTGTTTAATACAAGGTTCAAGTACCACCTCCTGCAGGGAAACTTCTGTGGCCACCTAGTGCCCAGTGTCTTCTCTCTCCTAATCTCCTGTTGGTCCCTCTGCGGTGGCACCACCAACCTCCAGCGTGTTGTAGTTGTCTCACTCCTAGACTCCCTGTGGGCAGGGGCTGTGTTTTATTTATCTCCACTTGGTCTGGGCTCGGCACCTGCGCGTAGTAAAAGAAGTAAGATGGATGAATGAATGAACCAGAGTTCATACAGATGATTCAGAAGCCAGAAATGACAACCTCCACGCAGGCATCCACGCTCCTCCTTGATGATGCAATCCCCTGCTTGACAACTGGCCCTGCCAGGGTGTCCTTCCTGGGGCTGACTTAAGCACGTCCTGCTTCTTTTGGGCGGGGGCCCCATAGAGACGACCACCGCTCTTCCCATAAGTGTCTTCCTTTCAAGCTTTGCTCCGGCTTCTTCCCTCCCGAGCCGGATCCCTCGCTGGGGGACTCGGCAAGCGCAGGCTGTCGGAACGTCTCCTTCCAGGGGTGGTGGGATGCGGCTGGCGAGCGCTCCACTGGGTGGGCGTGTTCTCGGGAGAGGCCCGGAGGCTGGTGCCCAGAAAATGCCACCGCCTCTCCCCTGGCTCCTCCTGGCAAGCCCGTCGCCGCCCCCTCCCCTCCCTTTCAGCAGCCTGTCAGGGGCTGACGGCTGACGGATGGGAGGCTGTCATCCTCTGCCCCCACCCGCCATCGCCGCAGCGTCCCCCACGCCGGCCCCTCCTGGCTCTGGGCAGCGGTGGAGCTGTTGCTAACGGGCTGGCACCCGGCCTGGCTCCTGCCGCCCCAGCGAGGGAGGCAGCTCCTTGCGCGCCGTGCCAGGCTGCTGGCAGAGGGAAAGGAGCGCCTCCCCACGCGGGCAGCCGGCGGGCGCCGTCTCCCGGCCTGGAGCTCAGCGTGTCCTCGCCTCCACCCCAGCGCCAAGCCGCCCTCCGAGCCCAGCCTCCCCCGGACCAGAAGCGCCCGCAGCTCTGCCGCCCTGAGCTCTTCCCGGGAAACCGTGAAGCGTGGGAGCCGAGTGGCTCCTGAGGGTCATCTCATACAAATGCCTCATGTTCAAGGTGGAAGGCCACGCCGGGGGGAGCCAGGACGAGGGGTGACATCCCTAGGAAGGCAGATGTGCTCTCAGCGCAGAGTGGAGCCGCTTCCAGACCCTGCCGGAGCAGGCGCCCCAGGACCCCGCTCTGAACGTCCTCAGCGCCCCGGTGACATCACGAGCTTCAGAAGGGCGCAGACGTGCTTGCGTCTCCTGGCACTGCGATCCTCACGCCTGGCACTGTGCCCAGCATGTAGCAGGTGCTCAGTAATGGTGTCTGAGTGAACTGTTACAGAACAAACGCCACTTATTAAGTAAGCCACAGCCAATGTGGGTTTGCCTCCAGGTGAACGCTTGACCTCGTAGGCTGCTCCTCCTGAGCGGCCGAGGGTAGCTGCGGAGTGCCCGGTCAGCCCTTGGCACCCGCCAGAGACCTGGGGAACGTGTGCTGGGAAACACTGAGCCTGGATGAATGACCTCGCCCAACGCGTATCCATTCAGTGATCCATCCATTCACTCAGCGCTTGTTTACTGAGCACCTACTGTGTGCCGGGTGCTGTTCTTGGTGCTAGGGATATAGTGGCAAATGAGACTGTGCTGTGCAAACAGTCACACGGGCAACTAGACTCTCGCAGTGAGCGAATACACGTAAGGGACGTGAGGGCAGTAGGGCCACGGAGAAGGGGAGGAGCAGGGCTGCTACTTTAGCTAAGGTGGCCGGGGGAGGCTCCTTGCCGAGGTGACACAAGGGCACTGAAGGACGCAGGGCAATACGCTCAGCAGACGTCTGGGAAGACTTTCCAGAGGGGGAGCTGCAGGAGGTGCCTGGCACGTTCCAGGAGGAACAAGAAGGTTGGTGCAGCCAAGGGGGAGCGAGCGAGCCGGCAGGTGGCAGGAGCTGGGCCGGGAGCTGGCAGGGCCAGATATATCTTGCAGAGGCCAGAGGAGCCCAGGAAGAACTTTGGTGTTATTCTGAGTACGGCACGATCACTTAAGCCCCTGCCTTGTGCCAGGCAGTGCCCCTTGCAGTCTTGCCATTTCATGGCTCTGTGACCGTGGCCCTCTGTTGAGGTCTCCAGGTCTGGACGAATGGGTTACAGGAGAGGGAGAATGACAGCCCAGTGACAAGCTCAGCTCATCATGTGGCCGCCACCCCCATGTTCATCTTGAGCTCATAAACGCAGGGACCTTGAGGACAGAAAGGGTTGGGGCGTCACCAGCATGCATCTAGCACCCATGCTGTGCCAGGTGCCTCCCCAGCACCCTACCTGCCCAGAGGAGCATCGCCATTCTCAGTTCAAGGGGCCAGACTGCAGCGTCCCCTCTCAGGAAGAGCTTCCTCACTGCCCAGAGCTGGAGGGTGCAGGGTGAGGGACGTTGTGGCAGTGTCCGGTGGGGGAAGAGGATGACGGCTTCCTGTCCATCAGCTTCCGGCTGCTGAAAGGGAAGGGAGGGGTGCAGGATAGGCTTGTTGGGAGGAGCAAGGGGAGAGGTGGTGGCCCCTCCTGGGTACCAGACTCGGGGCCCCTCCTGGGAACGTGCCACGTGGCGGGGCTGGTGCTGGGCTGGACCCCGCCACTTCCAGGGGAGGACATCCCACCAGCCCGTGCACGCTGAGCACCAGGGAAGTGAGGGGCTCGACTCTGCGAGGGAGGGAGGGAGAGCATATCCCAAAAGGCCACCCAACTGCCAGGACTCAAACCCAGGTCCACCTGGACCCAAAGGCGAGGATGATTCATGGAGGAGCAAGCACGCTCTTGCGGCCCTCCCCACTGCCCTCCCCCAGCTCAACAGGGGGGAGGCTCTGCTCTCCAGCTGGCCCTGGGCAGCCCCTTCTCACTCTCGGGAGAATCATTTTGAACTCAGGAAACACAAAGCAGCTTCAACATCCATCAAAACAAAAACCCCCTTCCTCCCAGAAGGAAAGCACATGATCTCCTAGGCCTCCTTGAGGCGCTGGCGTTTTGCAGCAGGGACTGTGCAGGCCTGACTCTGGGGCGGTGGGCTCCAAGCGCATTGGCAGCGGGCGAGCGACTGAAATATTCCAGGCAGGGCCCTTCCCAGCAGCTGCCGTTCACACCATGCAGGCTGCCGCCCACTCCGTGTATACATAAGGCTGGGCTTGTGCATATGTGGGCTCCTGCAAACAGTTTTTAAAAAGCACTAGTCGCAGGGAAAGTCTATACATAGGCTCTTAAAGCTGGAGGATCCTTAGAGAGCGTGCTAGTCCAATCCCTCTGTTGTCAAATGGGGAAACTGAGGAAGCTTCCTGTCTGAGGTCACATGACCACAGTTCAGGGACAGAGCCAGGATCAGAACCCAGCTTGGCTGACTCCCGGGCAAGAGTCCTCCCCACAACAACACAGTGTTTAACTCACCTCCAAATTCAGACAGCCCTGGTGTGACGCTCAGTTTTGCCACTTCTTAGCCGTCTGGCCTTTGATAGATGCTTGAACCTCTCTGGCCACTGACTTCCTTGTAATAATGGCACCTGCGTTTCGTGCTGTAGGTGAGATGTGTGTGTGGCACAAAGTAAGTGCCCAATAGCAGTGACAAAGCACCCACCCCCTCCTGTCTCAGCACCTCACCTCCATCCCTTGACCTCCTGTGGCTCAGAGAACATCACCTCCTGCTCCGGGGAACACGAGCCCATCCTGGAGTGAACTGGCACGGCAGGACCGGAAGCAAGGCTGGGGCTTCCCTGTCCCTTTTACTCCTCTGGTCCCCAGTGCTGGCCCAGGCCAGAGTGTCCCATGGGGCAGACAGGAGGGTGGGGAGTGCAGAGGGGACCGGGCAGGATGCTCCCCAAGCCCTGTGCTACAGACCTCTGGGGGGAGGGAGGAGAACCAGGCAGCAACACAGAGCGGACAAAAATCCGGGCAGGCATCCATCTGGAAGGCTCAGCCCCAGCCCCAGCCGTGGAGGAGATGAGAGCCAAGGGGCGGGGCTCCAAGGGGCGGATAACAGAGGGATGACTGACGGGGACAGCAGACACCCTCAGGGTTCAGGGACTCCACTCGCTCCAGCGAGCTTAGGGGCCCTCCGCGGTACCCCCGGGGTTGCCAGCTGGGAAACCTTGCCCCCGGGGTGGACACAGGACAGAGGGTGCCATCTGCTGGCGCCTGGCATCCATGGCCTCCGTCCCCGGAGGACCAGCGCAGACCCGAAGCCTGCCAGAGCCTGGCAAGTCTTGGGAGAACAAAGCTCCTTGCTTTACAGATGAGAAAAGGGTGTCCCCGAGCAGGGAGGGGACCTGTCTCCATCCCTCAAGCACCTGCACTGGTGATGGCAGACTCAGACTCAAAGTTCCCTCTCCGCTCCTTCAGCCTTTTCTCCGTGACTCCTGTGGGATGTCACAGGTCATCCCAGCGTTGCTGGACGATGAACATTTGGGCCCAGTCCTGGGATCCTTAGCTTGTCAGGAGGCCTGGGAGATGAGCAGGTGACAGGGATCGTGTGGTCAATTGTCCTTTGAAGGAAAAACACTTTCATGGCGATGGGCATGGGAGCTGTCCCTGGTGCTGAACCCTCCTCTCTCGGTGCCCTGTCTACTGATAACCGCCTAGGGCTGAGCTACTTGCTAGGTAGGACATTCACAGCGGTCCCTGGATGCCAGGACAACTTCTCCTCCCATTGCAAATCTGGGTCAACTCCAATTAAGTAAAGATGACAGTAGATAACAAACAACATTTTAACAAAACTCTCCACCAAATATCACCAGCAAGTCAAACATTTACTGAGCAGCTACTATGTACCAGGCATTGTGCTAAGGGCTGGACGTGTAATGATCCATTTAATGCTGACAACAGTTTTATGATAACGCTACCATTATTAGATCCTCCTTGTCACAGGTTAGGAAACAGGCACAGCAAGGCTGAACATCTTACCCAAGGTCACGCCGCACCCTCAGGCGGGCTGAACCCAGAGTGCACTCACTTAATTCATCACACTTTCCTGTCCCTTCCTAATCACATAATGCAACTGAAGGACAAATGTAAATGATTTTGCATTATCTGCTGCTTTGCATGATTGGTGCCATGGCTCTCTTCCACCAGTGTGAAACATCAGGAGTTGGCCAGGGCAGACAGGACCTCACGTCCTTCCTCCAGGGGAGGCTGTGCCAGGGTCAGAGGGAAGCACAGAGGCAGGGACAGAAGGTCCCCAGGCACTTAGTAGCCACGTCTGGTTACCGGGTTGGGGCTGAAGCGATCAGGACACTGGGGACAAAGGACACAGCAAACAGGAAGTGGTGCCTGGACGCCCAGGGCTGGGAGAAGCAGGGCTGGAGCCCAGAATGGTTAGGGCAGGGCTGGACAAGCGGAGATGCTTGTGAGCCTATGGGGCGCCACACAGAGAGTCCTTCAAGCATGAAGAACCGGGCATCCCAGTGACAGACCTCGATCGCCAGCCCCCTGGGGTTGGCATCGGCCAGAGAAAACTACCGCAGCTAAGTCTCACGCCCCTCCCCAGGCCCAACCCTCGCCCCCAGCTTGGGCAGACTCTGGAGGGCCCCTCCAGCTCTGGCTGGCCCGTGTGTTTGGCCAAGGCCATTTTGGGACTGGTCCCAGCTCAAATGCTCTCTCTGCCCAGTCCTGCTGCTGTCTCTCCCTTCCACAGTGTCATGCCTCAGAGCTCTTCCTAATAAACTTCCTGCACACCAAGCTCCACCTCCCCGTCTCCTTCCCATGGATCCCAACCCACAGCGGCTTCAAATGCCAGACTTTACTTAACGGATGTGCCCAGCCGGCCCACCCGATGGCCACGTATGTACCAGTGCTCTGGATTAGCTATTATTGGCAAGTTGATTTTCTGTGTAGGAGAAAGTGCACAGAGAGGTTCTTCAACAGCGTGAGTGAAGAGGCGACAGCCTCCCCCCTGGGCTGCAGACGGTGCAAGTAGGGCCCTGCGGGGGTCGGGGGAATCAGTGGGTGAACAAGAAGCAGCGGCAGTGCCAGCAGGAGAAGGTGATCTGGGCCCAACTCCACCTTCATGAAAGGGACCCATGGGGGTGACACAAAGGCATGAGGCGGGTCATGCATGGAGAGGAAGATATGACTGAGGCTGGTGTCTGCACACACACCCAGCCCCGGCTGGCAGTGGAGACCCACTCCGGCATGCTATGCACCACGCCACTGACAGGTGCCCGTTGCTAGTGAGCCCATTGCACGTATAAAGATACAGGGACCCCGTCACCCAGCTGTGAGTGGCAGGCTGGATTTCAAGTCCAGTTTCACAGTGGCACAGTCCAGGTTCGTTCCCCCACACAGGGCAGGAGGAGCAGGGGGCCCAGACAAAGGCAGGCAAAGACAGGAAAGGAAACAGTAAACAGGGAGCGACGGCAGTCAGCTCTAACTGCCCGAGCCGCCCGGCCATCCAGGCATCCGGCTCGGCCAGGGGTGGCAGAGAGGAAGGAGACGTGGGCGTCTTTATCTCCCAAAGCCGAGGCTCCACAAGCAATTTCAAAATTCTCCCTGCTGCCCTGGCCTGGACTCCACACTGACAAATGGAGAAGAAATGAGACCGTTTAGCCAGTAATTAAGCAATAATGGCCTGCGCAGAGGTCTCCGCCAGGCAGCAAGCAGCCAAGGAAAGGACCGAAAGGTTCCACGGAGGAGCAGGGGAAGAAGGAGCCATTTATCAGATTATTACAGGGAGAGAGCGACTCATTAACCCCACGCCGGCCTCTGGGCTTTCCTGTCCCTGCACAGACAGAGGGAGGCCTTGGCGACCCTGTGCTTGGCCTCTGCACTCAGCCTCCCTCTCGGGTCCGACTCACTGTGTGATGCCCCATAAGCTGGAGCATCTCCCAGCCCCCGGCTGAGGCTGGGACGGGGCATTTAAGTGAGGTCAGTGTTGCCTGTCTTCAAGTTCACCTCTGTGGCTAGGCGTGTACCCCAAATACCCCTGTGATGTTCAGGCACGGGCTGCAGCTCAATTCAACAGAGACACTGACAGCCCTGACAGCAGTAGCGACAACAGTAGCAGTAACAGTAGCCACGGCCACTCGTCCAGTGCTCACCGTGTGCTGCACTCTGGAGAGGGGCTCATGCAAAAACACCACAAACAGGTTCAGTTACTGCCCCATGCTGCAGTTGAGGCTCAGAGACATTGGGTGACTTTGTGCAAGGTCACCCAGCTCATAGGGTGCGTTACCAGGACTCGAGCTCGCATCTGACTCCGAAGTCCGTCATTTCAAGCACCATGCTACCCAGAGCCTGCCCCAGAGACAGTCAAGAAAGTCCCCGACAGGAAGGTTCCCAGAAGGGGAAGGCTGTTGTGAGCTGAAGGAATCAAGAATTCTTAGTGCCGGGGGTGGGGCAGGGGGGATTCCAAATGGGGCCTTGAAGGCCGAGTAGACTTCACAGGCGAAAGTGAGACGGGGTGTGGCTTCCGCACGGCTCCACGTCAAGGTTTGTCCCAGAGGTTCCTGGAGATGTTAGCTGGGGTTGCAAAGAAAAAATAAAATCCTAGAGTGAAGTATATGCGGAAAACATAAGATTGAACAAAAGGTAATCAGTTTGTTTATCCCGGGCTTCTCAAGCTGCGGTGGACGCAGGGCTCCCTGAGTCGGGCTTACGGGGTTTGGGTTGCAGGAACTCACATCACAAACTGTTTTAAGAGGTGACAAGGGCCTCCCCGTTTCTCTGTGTCCTGGGGTCCCCCCGACCCGAGAGTGCGCAGGCCCGAGTGGGCTCTCGTAAGCGTGTGCGTGGGGTGGGGGCACGAGCCACAGCCCTGGGGGCAGCGTGTGCCGGGAACGGGGTGCGGGATGTGGGAGTCCCTGCGAACGCCACTGCACGCGGAAGGAGAGGCTCAGAGGCGGCAGGAGCGTCCAGGCCCGGCCGGGGAGGGCGGGGGAGGCGTGGATCGGAAGCCTGCTGGGAAAGCCCTTCGGCTTGACAGAGGCAGATCTGGACACCGTGGGGGACGGCCTTCGGCCCACGGCGGGGACGCCGTGGTGGCAGGGTGTGTGACGGGGAGTCCGCAGGGAAAGCGCACAGGACCAGTCTCGCCTTCCCCGGAAAGGGGGAAGGGTGGCCGGCGGGTTAAGAGCGTGTTCTCCGGTCATCGGAGCCCCAGCTCTGCCACTCAGTCCTCCCGCTACCCTGGGCACCTTCCTCGACGTCTCTGAGCCTCAGTTTCCTCACCTGTAAAATAGGGGCCCTGCTATTACCTGCCTTGCAGGGCCATGGTGAGAATTCAATGAGCTCACCTTTGCCAACCACTCGGCCCGATGTCTAGAGCGTGGTGAACTCTCCAGGGAAGAGTGACTGAGGACGGACACTCTCGAGGTCCTGGGGGGCCGAGTGTCACTGCCGCCCCCGCAAGAACCCCTCCAGCAACTCCCGAGGTGCAGCCTCCGGAGGGACATGCCAGCCGCCAGCCAGAGACGAGAACTCGACAGGGCGTAGCGCGATTTGAATGCAAGGGGAGGCGAGGGGAGGCCGGCCGATGCAGTGGGGGATGCAGGGTGCGTGACAGAGGGGACATGACATGACAGGGTGCGTGACAGAGGGGACATGACGTGACAGGGTGCGTGACAGAGGGGACATGACGTGACAGGGTGCGTGACAGAGGGGACACAGCACCAGGACCACACTGACCTCTCTCTGACACCCACGGCCTTGCACAGCACACCCGTTACCGCACACTTACTGCGTGCCAGGAATTGTGCTGAGTCCTTTGGGACGAGTTCATTAACTCCTGGCAACAGCCGTGTGAAGCACATACCACTGTGGGCCTGTTTTTCAGACGGGGAGGAGGGGCACAGAGAGGTTAAGTAAGTTCCTGGGGTCTCACAGCAGCT